TGATGGAAAATATTATAGAAATTTGGGATCTGTTTTTGATGTCACAGATGCAACAATTGGCCTTAGCGGAAATATAGCCTTTTTTGAAAATAAAGGAGAATTTGGACCTGCTTTTAAAGTATATGGAAGAAGTTACTTTCTTCTTTCTAATGGATTAAATGCTGCTTTTTTCAATAATACTGCTCTGTCAAAAGGTGGCGCAATATTTGCTTCCGATCACAGTGACTCTGACGATTGCATGTTTCAATTGTGTAGTAACAGTACTGCTGACATCAGAATGATATTTATTAATAACAAAGCTACGGAGGCAGGTAGTTCCATCTACAGTAGCAATTTGTATGATTGTTCTACTAATGGTATAGCTAGATCATATAAGTATTTAAACCAACTTTATAACAAAATTTTTCGTGTCACCTCTTTAGCTCCTCATAACATTATTTCACTGCCTCCTGATTCACTTTACTTGTGTAATATTAGCTCCAAAATTTGTACTCATGACGCTGATTTGTCAAATATTGTAATATATCCAGGTCAAACCATTAGACTTAGATTAGCAGCAGAGGAAAGCTACATGCATACAAATCAATATGCAGTTGTATCATTATTAATTATAGATAGAAAAAGTCCTTTTTCTGTTCCTTCCTGGCAAGTATCAACTAATAGTGCAAATCAAGCTTTATTAGAACAACATGAATGCACTTCAGTTGCAATAATGCTTCTCAAAAATGAAAATGAACCTAATCCTTTATCCCCTGCTATCATTGTATCATCCAGCTCTATTTCATTGAAACTGATGCTGCATGGTATACAGTTGCTTGATTGTCCCATAGGATTTGAACTAAATGCTACTGAAGGTAAATGTGTCTGCTCAAAAGCATTGCATAAACTTCATAAAAGCTACCCTTCCTATCAACCTGATTGTCAGATAAGCTCTGAATCAGATAATTCTATTCCTACGATTACAAGAATTAATTCAGAATGGATTGGTACTATGAATCAATTGTTTAATGGTACTGCTGTATTTGGTGCAGCATTAAACTGCTTTGAGTTTTGTAGGTATAAAAGTGGCAAAACTAAACTGGTAGTGGATCACATTAATGTTACAATAGCAGACTCCAATAATCTTAGTAACTCCATACCATTGTGTGTTGAAAATAGAGAAGGCCCTTTGTGTTCACAGTGTATCACTGGCTACAGTGCAGTGTTTGGTTCATCTGAATGTAGACAGTGCAGTAACTGGTGGCTATTAATGCTATTAGTATATGTACCTGCTGGTCCTCTAATAATCTATTTATTATATGCTCTCAAACTGACACTAACTACGGGCACACTTAATGGTATTATATTCTGTATACAAATATTCGGCTTTTTCAATCCACCTTCAATCAATTTAAAAGAAATGAACTGGCTGGTAAGTGGTTGGATTGATACACAGTTAAGTCATCCATTATGTCTATACAATGGGATGACAAATCTATGGAAACAAGGTCTTTCTACAGTCTATCAGATTTATGTATTAAGTATTTTACTTGGAATAATCTTTCTCAGTAAATTCTCAGTTAGAATCTCTAACAAAATAGCCAATTCATCAGTACAAATTCTGGTCACTGTTGTGCACATCTCCTTCTCATATTTATTGACATCAATAATGGATGTATTTACACCAGTTACTATATACACAAATAACACCAGCAAGGAACCAATGCAGGTTTGGTTTAAACACCCTACAGTTGAGTATGGAACACATGGTCATCTAGTGCTAATTATCATTACATCACTGGTAGTTGGTCCTATATTAGGTGTATACATGACTGTATTGTTAGCTGGTAGGCCACTAATGAGGATCAATTATAGGATCAGAGAATATATACGTCCTGTATATGAAGCTATACATGCTCCTTACAAAAGAAATCGAGAATTCTTTTTTGTATCAAGATTACTCATAGTGATATTATTCTATGTGATATACGTCTGCTTCAGAGGAAAGGATATGTTTCTTGGGATGGCAATAGCATCACCAATACTTTTTGCATACATTGCAGTAGAATCTTTGGCCAGGCCTTTTAAGAGAATGTCTCTCAACATTTTTAATGTGTTTCTCCTTTCACTTTTAGCTCTCGTTTATGGGTCTAGCTGGTACTTCATGAAAAGTGATCATGAGTATGGATTAATAATAATCAGGGCTATTTACAATGCTGCTGTTGTAGCATCTATTTTTGGTGTTATTGTTATACATTTTTTATGGGTAACTGGTCTCTTTGAAAAGATAAAGATTAAAGTCAGAAAGTATTGGCCTCATCTATCACGACAGAATCAAGAAGAAGTAGCTCGTGCTGATTTGAGTGGATCATTTTTTGAACCTTATGACAGAGTGAGAGAACCGCTTCTCTCCTCACATTCTGTTCAATATCATTAAACAATTACTAAAGCTGTGTGCATGTTAATTTGTTTTACATCATATTTTTGCTGCATGCTGCATATTTAAATTTTAGTTTTTGATTGTAAATTTATGAGTAAAACACATCCTGTTGGCTATTGCACATTCTTACATACACAATCACACACTCTCTTTCTTTCTATATCTCTCACTTTTGATGAAGTTTAAATTCACACAGTATCTAGTTTATAGACTAGTTTTTAGGGCAGGGCCATTAGCATCATCATTCCGTCTATAGAGTAGACTATTAAAGATTCTGCCACTCTGGCCTTTCAGCCCTCCTATTCCTGCAGTTGCCTACATCCTTGCAGCTATCAAAAAATTGCTTTGTTGACTTCCATCACTAGAACACATAGAATGTCAATGAGATGTTAACAAATTGAGAGCTATAATATATCTATTGGATTTATCCTAGCTGAAGAAATTGAAATTAGTTAGATTTAATTTTTAAGCTGTTGTGCCATTTAAAAACAATTTAACTTAAGTCAAGTAAACTTTGTTTTTGTTTTTATTCTATGTGACACAGGATGCACACAGCCACACACTGTGGGACAGGAAGCAAAACACATTAACACCTAAAGCTAGTCAGGTGGGTCAGGCCCGCCTGGCTAACCTAAGGCAAAGTCAATGATGATCACAAGTAATAATTTTTTATACTTATGAGTGAGTATTAAGCACATTGGGTTGAATACATGCCATGCTAAATTGTCCAACTCAGACCAAAAATTAAATCAATAGATTCAAAAAATTCCTTATAAACTAAAATAACTATACTAACTACAGCAGACACACACACATCAAAAGTCCTAAATTATGAATGTCCGGTATCCTCAGTCCATATTAGAAACTCTTAGCGAGTGCAAATGGAGCAGGTTATAGCAATATTGGCATTATAACACTTAGGATCACAAGGGATTCCCCTGTCACACTTTGGCATCACAAAGTACAGCAGTGCACCATTTGTATCCCTATTGCTGCCAGGAATCTTCTCTCCAGCTTCATCGATGCATTCAAAGACTTGATTTCTTCGGTGTCCTCTGTTTTCTGCCATTAAGTAACCTCTGTACTCTTGGGTCCATGAATCTGGACAGGTGATCCTGCCAGGCAACTGCAGTTTAGTGGATTTGTCAGGAACATAACACACAGCACAAGGGACATTCCAGTCGTGGTTGCTCCAGATCTTGTTGTGTGATTGATACTCTGATCCATACATGAAAGTATGGTGTCCAGGATTTTGAGTGCTGAGATGCCCCACACCAGTGGTTGGCATACACACAATGTTTGCTCCTCCTCCATGCTCATCATGTCCACTGCCTCCAGCATATCCAGCATAGACTAATTCTACTCCTTCTCTGCAAGTTGTCTTTCCCCAACGAGTGTAAACAACACCATTTCCTTTCTTGCCTTTATCTCCTGGTGAGATTGTTAGGACAATATCTTTATCTGGTGTAAGAGTAAGACCAATTTTAGCCTGATCTTTAACTATACAATGTAATAATACATTAGGTATATTAGGCTACTTGCAT